TATTTTCTCCTGCTAACCTGTCTTTTTAATTATTTGGCCAGCCACAAGAACCTTAAGGGAAAGGGTGGAGGGGGATTCTCCTTCTTCCCCAACACGAAGATTATCGGTTGTGGTACTGGAGTTTCCCAGGCTGATGTCAGAAATCATGTCCTAGAAAGATAAAACAGGTAAACCTTCTGAGAAACAGGATGGACTAAGTGACCTCAGGAGGCAGAGGAGACTGGGAAGGCTGGAAATGGCCTTGAAGTTGGCAAGAAAGTTCACCAGATCATTTGAATGTGGTAGGTAATTAATTTGCTTGGCAAATATCATCGGATATTTAGGATGCCAGTCTTCCTTGTTCTCATGATCCACAATCAGAAACCACAAGTACAGAACCTCCAGGTCTGTCCCTGCCTGCTGGAGCATGAAACATCAGAGGAGGTGGTGCCAGCGAGGGATCAAACTACAAACAGTCATTAGAGTAATTTCATGCCAAGCAAGTGGTCGCTCACTGAGCAGGGAGCCTGCCCCCTCTGCTCAACATGCCTCAGGCCACAGACTCACAGAACAACAACTTTGCTTAAGGCTAGCTCTGCCCTCAGGGTGACTACAGAGGGTTCACATTTTGCAGGGACATCCCGTTTTGCAGCAACCTCATTTAGGTAAAGTCTCTTCACCTCTGTCCTTAGTCCAAGTCAGTGATGGGATCTCTTTGGCTTTCTTTTCTGTCGGTAGCTTTCTTCCTATTTTTGTTTTCCTCTAGCACCTTACTTTTGTTTCCTATGCACATGAAAGTAGGGAAAACTTCACTGCTAAGAGGGTTCTCTCTCATTTCTCTACATGCCCACCAGCTACAATCTGGACAAGAGACGGAATGGATAGAGTAGGGCATAAGGAAGTAGAGGAAATGACTTGGAAGCTATCATCTCTCTGGGCCCAAGTATTTCAATCCCTACAAAAGAAGACTTTGGCTAAAGAAATTGGCAATTTAATTTAAACTCTTTATTTATAATTATATCAGTTGATCCTCTTGATATCCTATAAACTTGATCGTTTTGCTGATGCTCACACTTCTAAGAGATGTTGAAGCTAGAATTTGAACTCAGATCTCTCTGAATCATACATATATGAGTCATGAAAATTATGTGTACCTATATATGAGTCATAAAAATTATATCTAGAGCTGGATCTAGATGTGTATCCTGATTTTTGCATCAGGGAAGGTATACAAAGTTTTTATGACCCAGGATCAACAATTTGTATTTAAGGGCCAGCCCCGTGGCTTAGCGGTTAAGTGTGCGCACTCTGCTGCTGGCAGCCCAGGTTCGGATCCCAGGGGCGCACCGACGCACCGCTTCTCCGGCCATGCTGAGGCCACGTCCCACATACAGCAACTAGAAGGACGTGCAGCTATGACATACAACTATCTACTGGGGCTTTGGGGGAGAAAAATAAATAAAATTAAAAAAAAATTTGTATTTGAGCATATGTAACTGTTCTGAAAGAAGAAACTTAGCTAGGAAATGAAGGACTTCAGTGTGGGAGAAACTAGTCCATCCAGGGAATCAAACCACTGGGGTCATAGGGTGATGTGTCCCTGATTGTCCAGGACAGTCCCCAGGTCACATTTGTTATCTCAGGATTCTTATAAATTCTCAGAGTGTCCATATTCACTAACATGAGTGTCCCAGTTTGGATGATATACTGTAGGGTGAATCTGTGTATAGGTAACATGCCTGGGGTCAGCCCTGGTGAGATCCCTGAGCAGAATTCCTCTTCCAAGCCTGGACTGTGATTGTACCCTCACTGCTGCCAGAAATTAAAGTTATTTTCACAGTTTTCTTTCCCTCTTTAGAGCAGAAGGGCCGTCTCAGGTCTGAATCCCTGGAGACCAGGCTGATGTGAGAGCACCACGGGCAAGTTTATGGGAATGGCACCGTCTCAGGGTAGTGGGTTCTTTCATGTTTGGAAAGCCAGCAGTGCAAGAGATTAGGAATAAACTCTGAGCATTTTCACAGGCCTGACCAAATCAGGACATTAGAGGAGATCAAATGGCTGCCTTTGCCTTCATGACCGTATTTTTCCTGGTATCCTCCACTTTGACACATACCGTTTTTTCAGGTAAGCAAACTTATAGGTCTTGGGAGAAAAACACCTGATTTTCTTTCAGTTGTAGGAAAGAAAAAGAGTAATTTGTGACTGGAAATGGGAAATGTTTTGCTGAAACATAGTTCTTTGGGCTTCACAATGCAAATTGGGTATCACTTTTGGAAAAAGGAGTTACTCTGGAAATTCCTGTATTTGAAAACTAAATAACACTCTTCTACATTAACACATCGGTCAAGAAAAATCAAAAAGGCAATTCAAAATTATTTTGAGCATAAGGAAAATGAAACAAAATGAACAAAAATTCAGATTTAAAGAAGTGTCATTGCCTCCACACCTTTTTTCTTTCACTCCAATCCTGCTGTCATCCTGTATGTCACCAACCTCAGTGGTCTCTATTTTATCTTTCCTATGCTTCTTTTTGCTCGAATAAACAAATATACGTACATTTCGTTATTCCTCCTTATACTATAAATACCTGTTTGCATCTTGCTTTTTCCCAATTCACAAATATGCTGAAAATCAGTACATGTCGGTTCACAAGGATCTACCTCGTTCTTTTACACAACTGCACAAAACTTCATTGGGTGGATCTACCAAAGTTTATCCAACTGGTCTTCTATGTATAGGCATTCAGTTTGTTTCCAATATTTTGCAATTACACACAATGCTGCAATAAATAACCTTATGCATACGTATTTTTATATTGTTGGAGGTGTACCTTCAGGGCAAATTTCTTGAACTGGGATTGATCAGTAAAATGTGTATGCAAATGTAGTTTTGTTCGATATTGCCAAACTCGCTCCATAAGGTTGTACCAATGGCATTCCCACAAGTCGTATATGAAAGCATCTCTCGCTCAGTAGTTAATCTGATAGGTGAGAAATGGTATTTTAGTATACTTTTGATTAGACTTTTTCTTATCATAGTGAGGTTGAATAACTTTTACAGATTTAAGGGCCATTTCTGTATCTTTGCCTGGGGGAGTGTGGATTGTATATGCATGTATATTACCTATTTGGCAATTGGGTTTTTGATTTTTCCCCCTCAATTTTAAAGTGTTCTTTATATATTAGGTGTATTAACCCTTTATCTGTGATATATGTTGCAAATATCTTCTCCCAGTTTATCAGGTATCTCTTTAGTTTATGTTTCTATTTTCCCATGAAGAAGTCATTCTTATTTGTATGTGATAAAATGTATCAGTCCTTTCTGTTATTGCACTGAGAGCAATGAGTCATTGTCAGAAAGACTTTCCTACATTAGGATTAAAGAGGAACTTGGTGGTGTTGTATTTTAATCCTTGCATGGTTTCATTTTTTATATTCAGATCCTGATCCACTTGAAGTTTATTCTTATTATACATGTATTATTTTATTTTATATTTACTAGATGAAGGCCTTTACTTTTCTTTTCTCACAACTATATCCAGCTGCTTTCATCATTAAAATATTCTGGCTTTTTAGAACTAGATATGAGCATTCCATCTTTTTTATTTTCTAAAACAGTGTATATATGATCGGCATAGTCTATTCCTGGAAAGGTTGGTAGTCTTTTTTTTTTGTGGGAAGATTTTTAAACATCATTCAAGTTTTCTCTTCTAACTTTGGCAATTCTAACTTTGGAAAGCTAGAATTTTCTAAGATATTTTAAATATCATCTAATAGTGAGAGATAAGGAAGAGCAGAACTATGATACGTCTGTTCTTAATCATTCTCCCACAACTGGTCATCTTCTGTTCCCAGGCAATACCACTGCTCCTCACACACACCAGTGCCATATCCCTCAGTCTCCCCTGAGCCAAGGGACTCCTAAGTTTTCTCATCATCACTCTTATATCCTCTTTAGTTTAGCATCTTGGTAGGAACTGGCCTAATATTTGTTTACTATATCATATTTAATTTTTACAGCAAACTTTAAAATGCGTATACTTATCCCAATTGTAGTGAAGAGGAAAGTAAAGTCAATGAAAGCCAAGTAACTTAATGAAAATAATATGATTTGCAAATTATGCCTACCACTCCAAATGGTTTTGACTCATTCGTCAATGACACAGCAAATCTCTCAATGAAGTGAGGACTGTGAAAATTAAAGAAAGAATAAATAAATTGATAGATAATTTAACAAAGAGATGCCACCCACAAATTCTGTTGCTATAAATTCTTTTGTTTACTTTTGTGCAAATGAGTAATTAAATTGTATTTCTTCACTCAGTCAGTGCTTCAGGGGGTGAAATCATATTCCATGGAGAACTATTTCTTTTAACCTATTGTGTCTGTACTTTATTTGCAGAAATGTTCAAACCACACGACATGTCTAAATGGCCTAAGGTAAATTTAAATTTCTCTGTTCTGAATTTTGATTCTAATCTGATCACTCTCTTAACATGAGAGACCTAAAACTTCATAGTGGTAAAGTCGAATGACAGGTTTCTATGTGACCTAGGGCATGTAGCTTAACTTCTCCAGGCTTAGATTTACTCCCATATAGTACAAGCATTATAATAGTAAAAGACATCTTTGAGCATTAAGTGAAATAACACCTGTCACTTGCTCAAGGTCACAAAGTTACACAGTGGTATACACAAGATTTATTCCCTGTCTCAATTCAGGACTCTCACTCTTAACAACTACCTTTGAGCCCCTGTCCTCTAGAAGTTCACAAACACATAAATATCTCTACTCACAAACTTCTTATTGTGAGTTACTGGCATTGGGACTCCAAGTTTAAATGAAAAGTTTGCATTTGGGTTTAAGCTGGGATATTGTAATGCTAATGGCTTTAAGAGATGATGGGATGAGTGAAGACACTGCAGTAGGAAAAAAACTTGCCTGACCAAAGCCCAGAGCAGAGGAAATTTTTGAAAAAAATCAATTGACTAGTAATATTTGACATTATTTCTATGTGGGGCAGGAGTGACAGGCCAGGAATAGATGGGAAAGTATCTATCAAATGTTGTTCACGTGACATTTTCTGATACTTGCAGCCCCCATGTAAAATGTACTACCCAGTGGATACTCTTTATGAGTCAACCTGTCCTGATGTAACTTCATATGTTTGTGCTACAAATGGCCACACTTACCAGAATGAGTGTTTCCTTTGTATTGATTGGTGGTAAGTTCAAAATAAAATGCCATTTGTTTTTCTCTATATTTCTTCACAGAAATTTCAAATAATCTTAACCAAGGAACTGGATTTATTGATGCATGGGATTTTTTTTAACATAGTCTCTATTGTTCACAAAAGATTGGGGACAGACTACATATATAGTGAAAAGTCATTTTAAAAAATTTAGTTAACATTCAAAGTTGACTCATTAAAAAAAGAAAGAAAAGCTTACATGATATTTTGCCAGAATTGTACAGAGATCATATTAGTAGACGGTTTATAGTTTACATTCAAGGGATGAATAGAAATGCATTTTTAAAAAAAATCATTTAAATTTTCTTTACCATGTCTCGTTGATATACCTATGAATAGCACCCATAAATGTTGCTTGGTAGATATGAAGAGATATAGCTAAAGATACAGATATAGATATAGACATAGACATAGACGCAGGTGTAGATAACAGATTAGACATAGACACAGATATAGATACAGGGTAGATATACACACGGGTAACAAAGTGGTTATGTGGTCTTACATGGATAAAAACTGACAGTCAACTTTTAATATTTTTTTGCCTTTCATATAGATTTAATAGCAAATTTAGATTAAAAAATTAATAATATTTCTCATGATATATTTTAGCTCCATTTGAACTTGTTTTTACAAATCAGTCTCGCGTCTTGTCAATCATTCTTCCATTAAGATCTTCTGTGTTGGGGGTCCCCAAGACTACCCTCAGGTTTGATGATTCAGTAGTACGGCTCACAGAACTCAGAAACACTGTTCTACGTGTAGTAGCAATTTATTACAATGGAAGGCTGCAGATTACAGTCAGCAAAGGCAGAAAGCTCACAGGGCAGAGTCTGGGAGACACCAGGCATGAGCTTCCAGTTGTCCTCTCTCGGTGGACTCACACAGGCAGCGCTTGATCCTCCCGGCTGTGATGTGTGACGACATGTACAAAGTATGCCGACCTGGGCAGCTCACCAAAGCCTTGGTGTTCAGGCTTTTTCTTGGGGGCCAGTCACCCTAGCCAAGGAGCATCTGCATGACTGACAACTACTTAGTCTCCAGCCCCTCCCCAACCCCCGCCCCACAGCTCAAATGATACAGTAGCTCAGGACCCCAGGTGAACAAAAGCAGGCATCCACCGAAGCATAAACTGTCTGGCCTGGCCCATGGCCCAAGATTACAAAGACACTCCTATCAGGCAGGATATTCCAAGGGCTTCTCGGTTACTTCCCAGGAACTGATTTGAGCATCCAAAGTCTGCTGAGCTAACTCCGCTCTTTAACGCACATCTCCCTTTAACAAGAGTCTTCATGGGCTTCCAGCATCATGTTCCCATCCTGTGAGGGTTATTGCTGAGCACTGAAAGAAACAGGATGTAGAAGCTGGTCCAATAAAGGAAATATTTGCTCATCTTCAGAGCAAATACTAGACTCGGAGGATGATTGAAATGCCCTTTAAAGGTTTTCCTTTACGGGAACGGAAAAATGTGAATTAACCAAATCGCTACCATTGGTTTCAAAGAAAGATGAATGAGAATTCATCAGTGTTACCAGACTATGTAGAATAACTAAATTACGTTATCATTCTTCTCTAAGGCAGTTCATGTTGGTTTTTCAGGCAGGGGCTAATTAGGCAAGACATTTGAAAGTGTCTTCTTAGCTCTTCTACATAAGCCTTTTTGCACACTCTGGTTTTGGACACACACTCCTAGAGAGAGCAGTCTAAGAGGAATTCACGCACAGTGGCCTGGTTTTCTGGAAAGTAATGTAGGTTGATGCAAAGGTACAGTGTGGGCCTTGATCCTCTGCTGGGCTACAACCCAACAACTTCCCACAAGGGTGGTTCTGAGATGTCTTCCAGCCTTACCCAGGGGACTTGAAAAAGTCTCAGTAGCTCAAAGATCATGCCTCAGAGCTGTCCTGGTAGAAATGGGAAGAGATGGAAGGAACTATTTCCTTCCGTCTTTTGTTATTTTCTTTCTTCCTTCCTTCCTACCTAGTAAGTCTGCCAGATGTGCTATGAACAGTCTAGCAGTTATTTCTCAATCCAAGAATAAATGAGGAGGCCCTGCTGGTTAAAAAGCAAAAACGGTTCAGTAACATTGGAGCCAATATGAGCACAGTTCTTATCAAACATGTCTATTTCTGTAATATGGAGAACATTGATGCCAAAGGCAGGGGTGGTGCTGTGGCCTGTATATTTGCTTTAATTCCCGACGTGACTTGGCATGTATAAACTTGGCGTTCATGCCATTTCTATATCTTGAGACAAAAAGAACAGTGCTTATGCTCTTTTGTGTGATGGAAGGGGGGGGGTATTTCCCTTTTTTTTGTTTTTGGCATTTTTTTGAGGAAAATTCTTGGAACTTTGGCTTCCCATTCTTGGGGGTTGCCCCCATTTTTTGACCATTTTAATTCTTTTGGAAAAAAAGGAAACTGAGGAATGCTAGTCTTGGTCAGAATCTATACAGAATCGTAGTCACTAACCTTAAAGGAATGCCCCAAGCCTACTCAGTGCAGAGCCCTGATAATAGCTACCAAGAACATAGAGAGTTATATGAAACAGACCCCAGACTCTTCAGAAGTTTGTGGTCTTATTTGCCAAAAAGAAGATATGCATACAAAGATGATAATAGACCATAAAAAACAGAATTGGTTTTGTTCAAACAAAACAGTATTTTAGTAACTTTGAAGTGGTTGACAGTATTACAAAAAAATCAGATTTTACCTAAAGTATAGATTTTCAACTTTTAAGGAAAAGTCAAACATTATAATAATAGTAAGTTAGGATTTCATGTGCAAGAAGTAAGCAACAGCTGCCTAGGAGTAGCTGCCCATCCAAATGGAGTTCTGGCCTTCCAGATTGCTGTAGTTCCCCCCTCTCTGTTGTGGTGAAGGGGGCCCACTTCACTTACGTATCTTACCAGCCTGGCTCATAGGAGCATTATATTTGCTTGTATGTTTGCAACCCTGAACGAAGAGAGTAGATCAGATACACATCAAAGGTGAGCCCCATATAGGGGTCAGGGTGGGAAGTCTTTTGAAGGAAGAGAAAGTTAAAGGTTTCTTAAAGAAAAAAATGCAAAAGAAAATAGAATGGATGCTCAACACAGGGCTCACTGCTTGCGAAATCATTTGCAATAGAGAAAATGTGTAATGTCTTTAGAGAAATAATAAAGAGAAAAATTGCGTTGAAAGGAATGTTACGCATTTAGAGAACAGTTTCACAAAGGGGTGGAGAGTTAGGCAAAGGCGGGACTTCCAGTAAATTAAACGCCAAAGTAAGAATAGACTATAGTGTATGGGCAGTGTAAACCTAGTGAGAATTTGAGCAGAGAGTGTGAATTATGTGAATTGTTATGCATAACATTATTGTTATGATTATCTTTTACTTTGTGATGGAAAAATATGGCATTGCTATGTTGAATGGGAAGAGATTGAAAAGGGCATGGGTTATGGGATGAAAGATTCTGTGCTGAAAATTTCACAGAACACTTTTTGAATAATCAAGACATAGAGGAGGAATGTGCAGACTGTGGTGGTGATAAACAGGAATGGAAAAGAGATGGGTTTAAAGGGAATCATAAAGGCAGCTCCCTTTCTCAGGCCTTCTCTTGGAAGATAAGGTATTGTGAATCAATGCCCCTGTCCTTATGCTACTAACCTTTTTTTTTTCTCTCTCTCTCTTCTCTTTAGGGAATTTGGCCCTCACATTAAATTTGATAAGTATGGAAAATGTGATTAATGGGTAACAGAGTACTACACTTGCTTATTCTTTTCACTACTCAATTCTGAAAACTATTTCCTTTGGAATTTGAGGGTGTATAATAAATAACACACCCTTATGCTGCACCCAAATTTGGAACAAAATTGAAAACAAAGGAATCAAACTAATGGAGAACCAAATATCACATTTATTACAAATAAACATAACAATGAAAGAAGTGGTGAATGCTCATCTCTCTGTGCTGACCTTTTCAAGTCACCTTTCGTTTTTCTAAGGTCTGTTGCCAAGTGGGCTTACTAACACTCCCCTAAATTAAACTTACCCCAAATTGCAGGCTTGTCTGCAAGGTCATACCCTGCCCCACTCATCTCACTTAAAGACATGAGCAAAAGAGAAAATATCCCCGACACACAGACACAGAGCTCTTTGAGGCTTTCTACCTCATACTCATGAATGAAGCCCACCTTCATCAGAAGAGAAAAATGCCCACGTGCTAATGGAAGGAGGGAGAAGGAGAGCCAAGAGTTTGGGGGAGGTAGGCATGTTTTTGAGGGAAAGAGAGGGAGTGGTTATCATTTGACCCTAGTTCCAGCAGAGCTAATTCTCACTCGTCCCATCCTTCCTATTCCATCGGTCAATAAATTCCTTTTTCTTTTTGCTTAATCTGGCTTATAGTCTGTCACTTATAACTGAAAGATCTTGACAAATACAGGGAGCTGAAGTCATTATTATGTTCAAAGGTTGAGACAATGAATAGTGACAAAGCTCTGGCCTTTGGCTTCTATGCTCTGTACCATTACCTCTTGTTGCCACTAGATGCCAGCCCGACTCTTCTATCTTCATCTGACTAGGTTGTTACTTAACCAGAAGGTTCCAGAGAAGCACAACTCTTCTTTTTCCATCACCTTTTGGGCTAATCACACAGTTCACCTCTGCTGGCGACAGGGACCCTCATCCTCTTACATCTTCCTCCCTCCTGTCCCCGGTGCCCCTGGTCAGTAGGGTCCGTCAGGGTGGCTCTCTGTGATGCTGCGGAGATAAAGGGCTTTCAGGTCCCTCAAAATAATCTGCTAAATTATAGACTTTCTGTTGTTGGTTTTCATCATCTCATATAGCTTAACACTATTTCATTATTTTATCTCTCCATCTCTGTCTTTCAAAAAATAACAAAAACGAAAATAAAATTCTCACCCACAAAGGTGAGTTGGGAGATGCAAACCTGCCCTACCACAGAATAAAAAGAGGAGATCAAGAAAATGTTGTCCTTTATTTTTATTTCGACCCACATGCAAGGTAGAGGAGGACTGGCACTGATGTTGGCTCAGTGCTAATCTTCCTTAAGCAAAAACAAAGAGGAAGATTGGCCACAGATGTCAGCTCAGTCTCACCTCAGACATGCTTGGTCAAATTCCGCATTTTACCAAGGTCCCCAGGGGGATTTTAATGCACATTATGGTTTGAGAGACATTCGTTTATACTTTTTAGAGACGGCTTTGAGAAAGAGAAGTGGTTTTTTTGCTTTGATTCTTAGG